TGCTTGTAACGGTTCGTCACATCCGGTGGAAACGTTGGGTGGCTTTCGTTGCGCTGTTGGGATATCAAGCGTGCCTTGTTGCGTTCTGGTTGAGACTTTGTGAATATGCAGGTTGAGCACATCCATTGTGGTACGGATGCTGACTTCTAGGGGTGAAATGTTGGCGCTGGCTGGTGGGCTTGAAGCAGGAGGTGCTGGGGTTGGTTCAGTGCCAGATCCAGCGGATTTAGGAGGTTGAGAGTGCTGTTGTAGTGGTAACGTCGTAGAGTCTCTGTCGAGATTCGCGTCGGAAAAGGTTCTTTTTCTGCCCATGGTGGTGAGAGTAGATGTAGAAGTGTTCTGCCTTGTTGGAGGTAACGGAATGATACACCACAAGTGGCATTGAGTGTGGGAGTGAATTTCGTGTATTAATTAGGTTAAAAGAGAGAGAGAGAACAGAACAGGGAGGACGGAGTCCGACGTGGTTTATATACAGGGTAGCTATGTGTGGATCGTATCCACTTAGACAGAAACGCCAAAGAATGTGATGGCTTCAACATGCCTAAAGTTATAAAGTGCCATGACGTGCTGGATATTTGGGCCTCTACTAACCTGGCTTTTTCCTTGCTGAGTCTGTTCTTTGGTGCTTTCTTCCTCCCGTGGAACTTGCACAGAGCCCTGGACAAGAGCCTCATGGCGGGCTCTTACGATCCTCTTCTCGGCTTTCAAGTGCTGCCTCTCTACAAACAACTTCTTCTCCTCAGCATCCAGCGCTTGTCTTTCGCGATCCATGACGCTCTTTTCGTGGGCTAGCGCCTGCTTCTCGGCATCGATTTGCTTTATCTGAGCGTCCAAGGACTCACTTTCACAAAGAAACTCCTCGTGCTCTGCTTTGAGATGCTCACGTGCGACAGCGAGAGGTGCCTGTCTGAAATCGTCGGCTCTTTTGCTCAACCACCATCAGATGCTGAAATTCTTCAATCTCACCAACACAACCTCCGGGCGATCTTGGTTCACTGAAACTTGACGCGCGAGACGGTTGACGGCATTGTTCAGCTGCTCGTCCGTGAGGGAGCCTCTGCCGATGGTGATGCCTGTAAGAGCTCTGTCAAGGGCCTCTGCGGGGGTTTGAGACATGTTGACGGTTGATGGAGGTGCTAGTGTGCAGAAGTGGTCTGGTGGGAAGCAAAATGCGGTTGTTCAGGAGCAGGTTGGCTGAGTTGCGGTTGTTTCGTTGGGTGCCGAATGAATTGGAAATGTATTTTGAAGGCCAGAGAATTCAGTTCACCGTTAAATCGCCGAGTGGAAGAACAACTTGGTTGCAGACAGGTAGCACGGGCCACAGGGTACCTTAAGACCTGAGGGTGGCATTCACCTGGCAGACCTTAGTTGGCGCCGTCTTTATGTGCCGAACTTACCACCGCGTGCCCGACACGGTTTGGAAGGACTTCCCTTCACGTCGTCCACAAATCATGCAACATGCGGGGATAAGGTCGGATGAAGCTATGTCATAGCAGTGGATATGACTATAGGGGTGAAGACACAAAGAGAATTCAGAAGCTGACATGTGTGCTACATGTACCGTACCTTATGCAGAAAGCTCGTACTAACCTTAACAGTACAGCGGTGGTTCACTCGGAGTGTTTTCAATGACTTCAAGGTACCTTCCAGTCAAGTTTGTCATACGTCATCATATAAGTCATCTAGAGGGCTAGTGTGTCTACCAGTGAAGACATAACAGCAGAAAGAACGTACAAAATAAACAGGGAGACATTGGTTGGCTCCCGGTTGATCAGACCAAGCTGTTCATTTCCTTCCAACTCCGATATACCCCCTTCATCTAGATGCCTAGATCAGGTACCATAACAGCTTCCACCATCAACCATAGGTACCTGAACGGTGGGGGATCTGGGAGCACTCACAATCCCTTGCCCCTTGCCCCGCCGCTACCTTCGAAGTATAGAACCATCAAGCTGTGGCATGTGTGAATGTGACCATTAAACAGGCTCAATCAATATATAGAATTCTGAAGATCACTAGAGCAAGCCTGACAATGATTCTGCGAAAGGCTGACAGGTTCTTTGGCACCTACGAAGACCCGCCAGGTGGTTGCCAGCCCAAGTTGACCAAATGGTCTGTGCCATTATCCTGACACCAAATTCTTGCTTCGTTTGCACTAACAACCTTTTAACAACGCGAGTTCTTTCGACGACACAAAGTTTCCTTCCTTCAACTTTCAAGATCACCTCACTCTTGACAGCACATTCTCACACCCCCAACCTTTTTGTCACTCGCCCACCATCAACCTTTCCTTCACTCGCATTCCATGTCGCGGTCCAGTCCCTCTTTCTCTACATCCGCCGACTCAATACCCGTCAACATGTCCAGCAAAACCAGCGACACCAGCGAGGCCAGCAACCAGCAGGCACAAGTCATTATGGCTTACCTTCTGGACAACGTTGCTAAGTTCAGCGACAAGATCGTCACCAACGAGGTGCTCATCCAGCAAAAGAACGAAGCGCTGGAACAGCTTCTGCTGGAAGCCTATCACGAGGGACAGATTAAGCTGCTCGTGTTGATGCTGTTTTCCATCATCTGGTGGAAGACCAAATGCGAAGAGGACCTCAAGGAGGTACCCCTCGCCGTCGCGAGGGACTTTCTCAAGGCGGAACACGACGCTTATGTTAGTGAATGCGAATTTGTAGCGAACTTCAAGAAGTAGGTAATGGAGGAGCTGGCCGACGCGGATCAGCAGGTGTACTTCAACAGGGAGATGATGGCCGACGAGCTGAAGGAAGTGAAAGCCGAGAGGAAGATGTTGGCCGACGGGAAGAAACGACTTCGAGCGGACCGGGTGCACTTTATGGTGGAAAAGAAGACTGTCCGGGCCAGAGAGTACATGCAGGCTTTTGTTCAGCAGGATTCTGTTCCAGTTCTAGAGCAGCAAGAGCAGAGTACTTTCGCTCGTCGACAGGAAGGAAGCTTTGGAGAACCCCACACCCAGAAAGGAAACATCGAGGTTAGTCTGTCTGGATGCACTGATCCAACACAGCATAGCTCTTGCTGACCATAACCAGAACGCCTCTACTTCCACATCGACTTCGACTGCTATCAGTGGCGAGCAGACCATCTCCGGCGCCAAACTCAACGATCCAATCACCCAGCAACTGGAAGCCATGAGTCTTTCCGACCACGAGCAGAATGCTTCTGCTTCAACTTTCGCCACTAGCGGCAAAGAGACTCCCTCTGACACCAATCTCGACAAAACCTTCACCGCCGCAACTGAAGCATCCTCGGCTCTGGCGGTTCCTCGTCCGGCCACAGCCAACATCTCATCCCTTGAAGCTATGATTCGTGAGGCTCTGCGCCTCGTCAGGGCCCCCATGCCACCACAAGGCACCACAGGAACCCATCGCTGAAGCACAACGTCAATAACGTCAAAGTTCGAACCGCACTTTCTAGTTTTCCGGGATGTGTTTGGGTGAGGAAGGACGGGAGGACATTTTTGTTTGAGTTTTGCTTGAAGGAGGGTTTGGGATGGGTTAGATGTAGGAGAGGAGACCTCTGCGTTCCCACTTTTCCTATAATAAAATTGCATTTGCCCTAGCGCCATGTGCAAAATCAAAGGAGTTGAAGTGACGACCAGACAGCCCGGGTCGGAATTGTTGTGTTCCACCGTGGCGGAATCCAGATACTGTAGAGCTTCTGGGTGGTGTTAGTCTTGAGTGGGGTTGTAGCAATCTACAGCGGACACTCCCCAACAGTTTGAAGGTGAACGGAAGCCACTGCAGGCAACGATCATGTCCAAAAACCACCAAGACCCCATCGACAGGTGAAACGCTGAATCGGGAAGGAACACTCACAAAGAAAGGGCAAGAACACCTCAGCTCCTGGAGAACACAACGCTCAACTGTCGAGTCAAGGAAGGTACGAGTGGTGGACTTTCCTGGGAAGTGAGGGGAACCGGAACAAAACTGTCGCCGGTCCGAAATCCCGCCGCCCGGTCATCCGTGGGCTCCTCGGGTGTCCAAGCTCAATGATTCTTTTTCTATCCCGCAACTACCCACCTACTACTAGCTTACTACTTAGAAGTCATCGATATTGGATACTTCTACTTCTGCATGCACTTACCCTTCGGACTGCCATTCAATAGTAGCCTTAATTCTCTCTCATTGGCCAGTTTTACGTTGAGTTTATGGCGTGGCCCTCTCATTCGCTGTCCATCACACAGGCATGGGCTACCCCACCATCCCCCCCCCAAAGCCCCCACTTCCCAGTGGTGGCAGTCAGTTGTGAAAACACCAGCGATTTGACCACGTCCACGATTGGATTTATCTCCCCATCATACTGGCCGGCCAGGCCATTTGAGAGCTGTTCTCTACCTTCGACATTGCCTCGCAACCATCGCTGTCCTCACAAAATTGCCAGAGAGGACAGTGACATTGGCACTTCGCAGAACTTGGGCGCTCTTCAATGCTCTTAGAGTACTGGACACGGTCTCGCCTTTACCCCTTTCCTGGGTGATATTTTCCTACACGGATGCAACCGATTTGACAACAATGGCCACGAGTCCTCTCACCAGAGGCCGCCGTCTGCAGGCCTACCTGACGCAAGCATGGGCTGAAAGGGGCAGTGGAACACCCTCTGTAGGTAGCTATTTTACTGATGCAATGACATATGCATTCACGGGTCGTTTGTCCTAACGGCTAAAAATAGGAACCTTCCGCCGGCGACGAAAGCACTCAATTATGTTCAAAATGCAAATTCATTAGTGCTAAGCTCGAGGAAATCCTTATGGCTCTCGACCTAGAGGTTTATGAATGTTATTACCCTCGTAAGAACGTTGTGACCCGACAGTTATCCGAGGCAGGAGGAAGAGTTACGGACCAGGGGGATCTTGAGCACGTTGTCTCCGCGTCCCTAAAACAGAAAAACCGATGCAGCCTCTGTAATTTTCTGGGGCACATGGTTGAAACCTATCGTGTGGGCCAGGGTCACTGGTGGGCTGCGAGCGAACTCTCTCTTTACATCGGCTCGGCAAAGTGGCATTACGGCATCAACAGCGAGAGCGCTTTTAACGCGGCAGTTCCTGCTAGCCGTCTTAGTGCCGCATATGATCAGGATACCAAGGTTGATGAAAGTCATCTCTTGTGTATTTGGCCAACAAAACGAAGCGGCGTCCACTCTGACATCAAAATTTTGCCATACACTCACGATAGAAAGTATGGGTCCTCGGGCATGGCACTTGAACTCAGCAATGACCGAACGAAAATAAGCGGTCGCCTCATCGGTCCTCAAGCAAACTTCGAAGTTCTCAGATCCTGGTTTGACGAGTGTGCAATACATCATAGCAAGACGTGCCAGACCGACGCATCGGTTCCCCAAGAGATTCCAGGCTTTATGGTAATAGACTGTGTCAGTCGGAGGCTTGTGTCTTGGTCGCAATTGCCGGATACGCAAGATCGCAACTATGTCGCCCTGAGTTATGTCTGGGGGACTGAAGCCGATGCTGAGAGGGAAAGAAAGGCCTCTTGGGTAACTTGGTTTAAGGACGGTATCTTGCGAGGCGCGGAAACAGAGGAGACGCCAAGAGCCTCCTTGGACTACGACATTGATCGCCAACTTCCATCACATCTACCTCGTCTTATCGAAGACGCTATCACTGCGGTCGTCAAGCTACAGTTCAGATATCTCTGGGTTGACCGGTACTGTATCCCACAAGACCAGGATGAAACAAAACACACCCAGATTCAAAACATGGACAAGATATACGGGTCTGCTGCCTTGACAATCATTGCCGCGGCGGGCAAAGATCCATCCAACGGGCTCCCAGGAGTGTCGCCGAGATCCGGTCTATCAAACTCTGTTCGGATTGGATCCCGAACATTTGTCACCGTGGGGACGGGTGATACTCCGGAGACGATGGAACATTCGAAGTGGAATACCCGTGCTTGGACAATGCAAGAAGCCTATCTATCGTGTCGCTGCCTTGTGTTTCTTGAAAATGGGGCGTTCTTCCAATGCAGCTCATTTCCAATTCCCCGCTACGAGTCCATTCATGAGGCTCCCGCAATGGTGAAGAACCCAGCCGCACACATTGACATGTTACTCCGCAACCCGATAATATCGACGCGTAGGAAAGGAGACCTTGGACATATCGGGTATGGGTGGTGTCTGCAACTGGTGAAAGACTATTTCCTCCGGAGTACAACATTTGAGGAAGACAGCCTGAACGCATTTGCAGGTATACTAAAACACTTGCAGTCGTTGAAGCCACCCGTCCACCATCTTTGGGGTGTCTTGATGCTCCCACCCACCACGCCAACGACCACTGGATACACAACAAGTTACAGCCTCATACCTGGGTTAGCTTGGACTTATAGACGTGACCAACATCTTTACCATGACAAGCTGCGACAGCCAACCATATTCCCTAGGAAAGGCATTTTCCCGAGTTGGTCATGGGTTGACTGGAGGTCACAAACTGCAGTTGATGGCCAAGATTTCACGAGCGATCATCAGCTTAAAATTCTCGATTCCGGGTTTCGCTCCACTGTGGACCTGTCCGTGGAATTGGACGATGGTACCAACAGTCCATGGGGCAAGGAGAAGTACAGCGATGAGTCTAATATAACAGTAAACCGGTTGGCATCGTTGCCCCAAGCCCCTCGCGTTCTCAAACTTCACGCATATACATCTCATCCTCACCTTCGATACATAACCGAAGAGCAATGGGGAGAACTCTGTGACGGAACATTTGGTTCCATGGACCAAATGAAATATCACGGTCAACATGAGCGTCAACCCAACGGTCATTTTTTGGGCTGCGAAGGAGGGCGCAAGTGGGTGCTAATAGACGCTGACGGCAAGCATCTTCATCGCCCGTTTGAGACTGCAGGTGCATATACTCCACCGCGCAAGCCGTGGTGCTGGGCACAGCGGCCGGGTTTCATAGCTCGCAATCTGAGCATCGATGCATATCAAATTCAACTACAAAGGGAGTCTCGGACGGTGGCGGATCTTGAGACGTTTCATTCGTCCACGTTCAGCTTTCGGGCTATTTTGCTTGGTTCAAGCTACACGAAGGTCTACTTCATGATTCTGATGAAGGTCTCAGAGGCGAAGAACGGTACAGAGACGTTTGAGCGGGTCAATGTTATCGAGTTACCTCTACCTCAGCATGTAGAAGTGCTTGGAACAGGTGACGAGAGTTGGTTCGCCATGCACGAATTTATTTGTGACCTGGAGGGAATGCCGTTTAACTCCTCGGGGACGCCATGGGACAGGATGAGCACGAGGATAGCCTAGTGGAAAAAGAGGTTGCAAATGGGAGACTGCCTTGGGTGCCAGGTCAGATGATTTTTTTATTTCCTTCTTTTTCACACATTCAAAGCCTCATGCCGTTTCCCAGCGACACATCCTGTATGTGGTCAAGACTTTTAAACAGCAATACCCTCCAACCAAGCCAAAATAACCCTCATCATCACCCCGTCCTCATACCCCAACGCCGCATCCAACGCCGGCTGCACATGCGCCTCCCCTACACACTCCACCGTTACCAC